AAACAATACTAGGGTTTTAGAATCTAACATTTCTAAATTAAACTTTTAATCAACTTTTAAATTCCAAAACTTGAGGGCAAGTTTTGAAACATTTCAAAAACACAAGGATCAAATAGCAAATAATTTAAATTAAACAATTAATTTAATGATTATCTAAATTTGACCTAATTTCAATTTCTTGCAAGATAAGTTACCCAATTAATACAAATAATTAATCTTTAATCATATAAGGAAGTTATTATCTAATCAATTGGTAATTATCTTTTGTTTAATCAAGGATATTCTCAAATATAAGATAAAATTCGAATATTAAAGACCCAAAACAATTAAGGCAAGTATCCTCAAGCAAAATAGCAAGAAATCCCGAAATCTGCTCTTACTGACGCTCGAACTCGCCGAGTTCCTCTATGGACTCGCCGAGTTGGAGCAACTCGCCGAGTCCACATTGGAACTCGCCGAGTTCATCAGTCAGGGAGCCAAAAAATCGATTTTGAAGCTTGAACAAATAACCAAGGCATCAATACAATAGAAACCAATCAAGGCTCTGATACCATTGATGGGTTTAGGCCATAAGAACATCCTATGTGCTCATGCAAACCCTAATGCTTGGATCTAGGTTTCTCTATTGTACATGCATTCATCCAAGACTATAAACCCTAGATCTAGCATGTGATAATCAATATTAACATATGAATTAGGGTTTAGATCATACCTTAATTGTTATGTAGCAATAACAATCTCAAATCCTCCTTGTAATGGCTTTAGAAAGCTTAGAGTCACAAGTGTCACTCCTCTAATGGCTCACAAACACCAAGAGCAAGAGGATGAAGAATAAGGAAAGAGGAGGCTGCCCAAAACGTCCAGAAACCCTAGTGGAACTCTTAGCCACGTTTTTGGGGCTTAAGGGTACTATATATACATGTAGGCTATTAGGGTTTTCAACTAGGAAACCCTAATCTGACTGCTTAAGCCCTAAGCAGCCCATTGACCCTTTTAGAATATCCCTTGGACGATTTCTAATGGGTTTCCCATAGAATTCGTCCAACCTATTATTTCAAGGTGATCCATAGCCCAAATGCAATTATCTTATAATTACAGTTCCAGTCCCTTAAGTTTAATTAATCTCTTTTAGCCACAAAATTAATTATCAATTAATTCTTGACTAATATTAATTAAATAATATGATTTCTCCTTTAATATATTATTCTCATAATATATTAATAAATCATAATTAATCCTTTCTCTCCATAATTCATCCTATCAAGTTGCTTTGGTGAAGGCAACCCAAAAGGACCATGCACCATCGGGTCAAGTACATACCAAAATAGTTATGGACTTAGACACTAATCCAACAAATACATCCTGTTACCTTTTTGGAAACGTACACACAATTCCTAACCTGCAATTTGTTTGCTTCACTTTTTTTTATCTTATCTTCTTCTTTATTTTAAACCTAGCCACAGACCCACCATGGCCCCAATTCACCATTCCATTAAAAAATAACCTCGCTGGAGATCAAAGACTATCGTCGCCTAAACTGATGCCGACGCCGACGACCTAAGTGTGCCTCCGACCTCCGCTTCCCCTGTTCTCTTTCTCTTGGTCTACCTGGGTAAATCTTTACATGTAAATCTATAATATACTTTCATTTTATTAGGGGAAATCGATTTTTTGTTGGTTTATAAGTTTCTTTTGTTGGTTTGTGGACTCGATGAAAATTAGTTATTCTTTTGGTTGTATTGTTAATTTTTGGTTTTTTTATAGGCATATGTAATTACAACTTTGTTGTTTGTAATGGGTTAGTGGGTCCATATAAATATTGCAAGTATTGTTAGTTAAAATGCTTGAATAATAGATTGTTTCTTAGTTTGTCCCCTGAATGGATTATTTGACCTTCATATGTTAACTGTTAAATATAATAGATTGATAATTATTGAGTTTTATTGTAACAATGAATAATAACAATTTCTATTAACAGATAAATGGAAAGATTTTTAAAAAGACGGATATCAATTGATGGCGCATCTTCATCCGGGACCGCCTCTAATGATATTCCCCAACCTAGCTCTATTCCATCGGTGCCGGTTGAAATTGATTTGAGTGAAACTCCATGGGATCCATCCGATAGAATTTTTTTTTTCAGATTAACACCCTAATCAAAGAGAAGAAATAAGGTGAAAATATTTGATTAGAGGACATTGTCAACCGCGTGATCATACATTTCCAACAAAAGAGATAGGAGGTAGGACAAGACGTTTCAATCTGGCTTGGTTTGATCATCTTCAATACAGTAAATGGTTGGAGTATAGTAAAAAAAAACAAATGAATCATTTTGTTTGTGTTGTTACTTATTTAAAGATGTATCAAGTAAAAGGGGCGACGGTGATGCTTTTGTAACAGAAGGTTTTAGTTGTTGGAATAAACCGGAAAGACTTAAGACTCATGAAGGCAATTTCACTAGTTCCCATTCCATAGCACTTAAAAAATGTGAAGATTTGATGAAACAAAATCAATCTATTGCCACTGCTCTTCATAAGCAAAATGATGCTATAAGGAATGAACATCGAATCCGATTAAATGCTTCCATTGATACTTCTAGATGTTTATTGAAATGTGCATTACCTTTTCGTGGTCACGATGAGTCTGAAATGTCTCTTTTTAGAGGAAATTTCTTGGAAGTATTGAATTTGGTTCGGGATCAAAATGAGATTTCACGGAAAGTTACGTTACAGAATGCTCCCGGGAACAATCAAATGGTGGCTCCATGTATTCAAAAAGATATTGCTCATTGTTTTGCACAAGAAGTACTTAAATCAATTTTTGAAGAAATTGGTGATGATGTTTTTGCTTTATTAGTTGACGAGTCCAACGATATATCCAAAAAGGAACAAGTGGCGGTAGTTTTGCGATATGTTACATGTGGGATTGTAAAAGAAAGGTTTATTAGTCTAGTTCATGTGAAGGAGACATCTGCATTGTCTTTAAAATCTGCTATTGACTCTTTATTTTCTGAATATGGATTGAGTTTGACGAAGATTCGGGGTCAAGGTTATGATGGAGCAAGCAATATGAGTGAAAACTTTAATGGTTTAAAATCTTTAATCTTGAGAGAAAATACCTCTGTGTATTATGTTTATTGCTTTGCTCACCAACTTCAGCTAGTCATTGTGGCGGTTGTAAAAAAACATCACGACGTTGGAGACTTTTTTGATATGGTAGCTGTTCTAATGAATGTTGTGTGTGCTTCTTGTAAATGTACAGATATGATGCACGAAAGTCAAAAAGATAAACTAGAAGAATCCATCGGCCGTGGTGAAATTGAAACCGGAAGTGGATTAAACCAAGAACTTTCTCTTACTAGAGTCGGAGATACGCGTTGGAATTCTCATTATAAAACTTTATCACGTTTGGTTGGTTTGTTTTCATCTGTTTTTGGTGTGCTTGAATATATTGAAGATGAAGGCCTTAATAGTTTTAGTCAACGTCAAGCAAGTGGTCTTCGAATATATCTTCGATCATTTGATTTTGTGTTCCACTTGCAATTGATGTTGAAATTTTGGGGATCACAAACATATTGTCACAAGCTCTACAAAGAAAGGATCAATATATTGTGAATGCTATAAGTTGCATGAAATCAACCACTGCAACGTTAAAAAGGATAAGAATTGATGGGTTTGATGCACTTATATTGGATATCACATCTTTTTGTGAGAATAATGGCATTAAAATATTGAACATGGAAGAAGTTTATGTCAACCCAAGAGCTCGAAGACAATATACCAATATTTCCAATCGTCATTATTACGAGTTTTTTTTTGTTTTAACATGGTTTTGGATATACAAATTCAAGAGTTCGGTGATCGTTTTAATGAAGTAAGTTCCGAACTGCTTATTTGTATGACAGATTTTGAATCCACATGACTCATTTTGTGACTTTGACCCATCCAAGTTACGGAAGTTAATCGATTTCTATCCACATGATTTTAGCTATAAAGATAGGTTGGATATTCTACAAGAACTTTCGGTTTACCCCAATCATATGCAACAAGATGAAAGATTTGCAACTTTGAAGAGCATATCCGACCTTGCTAAAGTGATGGTGGAAACCAAGATGCATCGGTTCTTTCTGTTGATTTATCGGTTAGTGAAGTTGTCGTTGGTCTTGCCGGTTGCAACCGCAACGGTAGAGATATGTTTTTCCACGATGAAGCTTGTAAAGTCGGATTTGCGGAATCGAATTTCGGATGATTTTCTAAATGATTGTGTAATTTGCGTGGTTGAAAGAGAAGGATTTTCAAATATTACAAATGAAAATGTTATCAAACGTTTCTTAGCTATGTGCCCTCGTAGATTTCACCTGTAAAATGGCATTTAGTTGAAGGTTTTAATGTTATTCTACTTTTTGTTTTTTTTATTAATTTACACCGGTCAACGGTCAACTATGCATCCACTTGACTTTCCGGCTGGATCCGCCTCTGCTTATAAATCAATGTTGGTTTAATATTGCAACAGTAAAGTTTCTTAAAGCAACTACAACTAAAGTTGATAAAAGAATATCACGAAGAAAATGCTGCTTAAGTTAATGGCATTAAAAGACTAAAGGACGAGCTGTTAGCCAACCGACACAAAGCGGCCGGTGAAAGCAGAAAGAGACAAGTTGAAAGGGAGATAAATTACACACATCGGTGATCAAATAAACAAAACTGTGGCTTGAAAGCTTCGATTGGTTCTGGGGTGTGACTAGCGACAACACCCCTGCATGCATGCAAAATAAATTTGCAGAACCAAGAGGTTATGTGACTCAAAAACTTTGTCACCACCATCAATTAATTAATGGTGTGAAAGCAAACTATATTATAGCCTAGGTTGGAGAAGAGTTCGCATAAGGAGAGAGAGAGAGAGAGAGAGAGAGAGAGAGAGAGAGAGAGAGAGAGAGAGAGAGAGAGAGAGAGAGAGAGAGAGAGAGAGAGAGAGAGAGAGAACCCGCGAAAAGATCGATCATGGAAAACATTCCGAAGATAATGATAAGCTCTTCCAATGGTCCTCGGCCCATGCCAGTGATCGGAATGGGCACAGCAACACTGACCGCATGTAGTGATGAGGTTAAGGTGGCGGTTATTGAGGCCATCAAGATGGGTTATCGCCACTTCGACACAGCGGCACTCTACCAAACTGAGAACCCTGTTGGAGAAGCCATCAGAGACGCCCTCAGACTTGGTCTCATAAACTCCCGTTCTGAGCTTTTTATTACGACTAAGCTGTGGTGTAATTCCACGGAACGCCTTCTTGTCATACCTGCAATGAAGGAGAGTCTCCGGTAAGACGTCCATCTCTCTCTCTCTCTCTCTCTCTCTCTCTCATATTTTATTTTCATGTCATTTCTCTTCGAGGTTATCAACTTATCATCTCTCTTAGTAACTTGAAAAGAACTATTACGGCCGGTTTTGTGCACCTTCTTCTATCTGTTTCATTAAGCTTAATTTATGTGGTGTTAGATAAATTGTATATATGACCTTTTATGTAATTCAGTTACGATTATTTACATTCTTTTTAGTTACTCTGAGCAAACTATCATATAGATTATCAATGAAACGTTTTCCATTTTTCTAGTATATTTTCCCACTAAGTACTTTATACTACTGTAACAAATTAGTTTATTGCACTGATATAATTTAACAGATGAAATACCTTTAGAACCAGAAATGAGAGTAGATATTGATAGTTTATTCATTAATATAGGAATTTGGGGCTCGAGTATGTAGATCTGTACTTGATACATTGGCCATTAAAGCTCAACCAAGAGCATTTCAAAGTCCCGGTTCCAAAAGATTGCATAGCCACAATTGATATCAAGGCCGTTTGGGAAGCAATGGAAGAGTGTCAAAATCTCGGACTTACCAAATCCATTGGCGTAAGCAATTTTTCTTCTCGAAAGATTCAACAAATTCTTTCCTTCTCGAAAATCCCTCCTGCGGTTAACCAGGTGATCATCTATAATTTTTTTTTCTTGTAATCACATAATACAAAACCAACTTTTTAAGGGACTCATAATATTTCTAACAATCAATCCTACAACTTTCCAAATTTCGGCTGAAGGTTGAGATGAATCCAATTTGGCAACAAAAACAACTCAATGAATTTTGCAAAGAGAACAACATCATTCTCACTGCGTACTCCCCTCTAGGAGCAATCGGCAATGCTTGGGGAGATAATCGGGTAATCGAGTGTGATGTTCTCCAAGATATTGCTATGTCCAAAGGAAAGACAACAGCTCAGGTACAATATAAATTTAGATTCTTCCATATACACTTTAAGAAAACTATATGGATTATATATATAAGGTTGTAGAAAAACGTTCGACGTTAGCTAGTTGGTGGACTCATGTTAAGGGATTAATCGTGTAGGCGGGATTAATCGGGACCATAAATTGTTAATTCGCTGAATTTTAAAAAATTAAATATGACTAATATTATAAAAAAGTTCGTTAATATCACTAATATTATAACAAAATAGGTTAATATGATTAATACAATACTAATAATTCATCAAATAGTTTCTATTGATATAGAACTTTTTTAAAATGTTAAAATTTAATTTTATCATTTTTTACTGCTTCACTCATTGTGTAAGTAGGGATTAATCGTTAAGCGTCCTCTAGTCGGTTGGATAGCGCGTAGGGATTAAACGGGGCCTAATCGGGATTTTTACAACATATATATATATATATATATATATCTATATATATATATATATATATATATATATATATATATATATATATATATATATATATATATATATATATATATATATCGAAACTAATTTTTTCAGCTTAAAAGCCTATTTATCAACTAACGTAAGATGGTATATATGCTAGTCATTTTATTTTATATGCTATTAGCTTAGTAATATTAATGCTATAATATTGATCATGACATGTAGATTTCTTTAAGATGGTTATATGAGCAAGGTGTCAGCTTTGTAGTAAAGAGTTTCAATACAAAAAGGATGAAGCAAAACCTTGACATATTCAATTGGTCACTGAGTGCCGAAGAGCTTAACAAAATCAGCTATATTTCTCAGCGCAAGAATGTTTATTTAATTGGTATGATGGTGAGTGAGCATAACGATGTAATGGCCGATATTGACGATGAGCTTTGATTTGAATAAGTAGTAAAATTAGAAATAACAGATGCAATAATTATGTTGAATTCATCAACAAATTTCATAAGAGATCATCAATTATTTTGGATGCTTTGATATGAACTTATGATCGAAACTCAACATTTTTGTGTCTATAATAATTTCCAAGTACTGAAAACTTATGTAGTCCATGTATTGGGCTAACTTGGTACTTATTTTACCATGCGAAAAACAACAATATGCTTTACTAAAATTGCCGATTATAGCAATGCATAGAGATGGAAATGGAGAGATATATAATTATAGTGACAGAGAAGACAAAGAATAGATGGAAGTGAGAAGAATCAATGTACATGAAGTGATCAAGAAAAACAAACAAACAAACAAACAAAAAATCACTTGGAAGCAAGTTATTTCTCCATTTCACATCTGATTATTGAACAGATGTGAATTAAAAACATTCTGTATCATCACAAAACAACACTCTACCTTGATACCAATCCACCACAACCCAAATGTACCAAAGTAATCCCCTAAAACAAACGGTGCAAAATCTATAATGTATTTTTTTAGCATATTATAATTATCATGGTTCATATAAACTATTTTATTTTAATCACAATAATTCTTTATATTTAAAAGAATCAATATATTTGTTAAGTTTAGATGTACTCTTTCTAAAAACAATCACTATATTTGTTAAATTTGAACACTTATTTTTACCAAAAACCGTATATTGTCATGATTCCATAAATAATACTTTGAAACTCAATTATGTTATTATGTAAAAGAAGATACAACAAACAATTTTTTGTCATGAATACAATTTGCACCCCATTTATGAACATGATGATATTATTAACCTTTGTAGACTCCTGAAGGTTCGGCATTCTGAACTACCCATGGATGTTCAAGGAGCTTGTGTAAAGGCATTCTCTTGGAACTTTCTTTAACAAGCATCTGTATTTTTTTTTTTAAATATAAAAAATTAATAAATAATGATGACACCCAACAAATTATAAAAAAGCTAGGAAGAAAGTAAGATGAAAAACCTGACTGATTAGGTCCTTGGCAGCTGAGGAGACTACCGGTTTTGAAGGGAACTTCAAATCTACTTTCACAATTCTGCACAATTACATCAACAATCAATCCATCAGCATCTGTACAATTTTTTCAGTGACAATGGCAAAGAGGGCATTTAGATCCATTTATTTTCAAGATTGCCATTACCTTCTATATGTATCAGTGTGTTCTTTAGCTTCAAATGGAGGGACACCATAAAGGAATTCATAGCAAAGAATACCAAGACTCCATATGTCCACACTTGCATCATGCTCTGTACTTTCCACTGTGATTAAATAAAATAGTTAATTACAATAAAAACAAACTAAAGAAAAGAGTTTTTTCAGATTGTGAGGTTAATATTATTATGTTTTTTACCCATTTCAGGTGGGAGATAATCTAGAGTTCCACACATGGTCTGCCTGCGATTGAATGTGTGCACAGACCACCCAAAATCAGCAATCTTTAACTCACCCTAAAATAAGATAACAACAACACATTATATTATGTTTCTGCAAAATCAATTATCAAACACATAATAGCAATACTACCATATATATTTATTACCTGTGCACCAATTAAAAGATTCTCCGGTTTTATATCCCTATGAATTACATGCTTCCCATGACAATATATTAGAGCCCTCGCTAATGAAGCAACATACTATCCCATAAAAGTTCAAAAATTAGTTGACCATTAACACCAATAATATACCCAAAGGAAATATGAAAGACTTACAGTAGCAGCACGTCTTTCACTGAAGTGCTTGCATCTTTGGAGCTCCTTGTAGAGTTCTCCTTTAGCAGCATATTCCAAAATCAGGTAGACTCTTTTCTGTGGGAGATGTTGTGTATGTTCTATAAATTTTTGATAGATCTTTTGAACAACAGTATGATAGAAAGATTGTGTACCTGATCATAAAAATAACCATAGAGTCGGAGGATATTAGGGTGTCTAAGGTGACTTTGTATTTCAACTTCACGGCGAAGTTGGTGCTCCACTTGGGATTGTTTCAGTTGGCTTTTGAAGAGCACCTTTAGTGCAACAATATGGTTGCTCTGTTTCAGAAAGCACAAATATGATCAACAGTTAAGCCAACAATCAAGAACCTAAATGAACTACTTTTAATCATGAGAAATAGAATTGATATACTAACCCTCTTTTCCTTAGCTATGTAAACATGACCAAACTTTCCTCTTCCCAGTGGCCTCCCAATGTCGAAGTCATTAAGCGTCCACCTCTTTTTTTCTGCTGCTGCCTCTGTATTAGCCTGTAATCAGGCACAGCCAATTGAAGTCAAGAAACATCACACAACAACCAAATCATCACGTTCACACACATTACATGAAACCCTAAATACATTAGAAGCTACTCTTACTTCTAAGATTGACTTCAAGCCTATTAGAACGAAAATTTCCGAATGCACTACAACAGATACATACAGAAATTGAAATTATAAAATAAGCTGCATAACAGTTTTAGCACGTATGGCATCTCCATCTTCGAAATTTAAAAATTTCCAATTTCGTCTCCAAATGTTATAAAATAATTACGATGAAGACAGAAAAGGCGTAATAATAACAAAAGAAAACATAGCTGTTAACATAAAAATAAGCCCTAACAGAAATTACAACTCTAGATATCGTATAAGAACCAGAAATCGGGATGTAATTTGTTATGAATTCAAAACCAAATAACCAAACAAAAGGAATTGATCGATTTTCTGAAAATTAGTGATGTACCGTTTGTTGAATCTGCGTTTCTGCTGCGATTGCCATGAGAGAGCAACGGATTCTAGAGAGAGAAAACTGGATATAGATAGAGAAAGAGAGAGAAGAGGCAGACAAACGAAGAGGAAATGCGAATTTTTTTGAATAAAGAGAGGGAGAGAGGAGGAGGATCTGCTTTCTCTCTCCTAAATTACACAACGGTCACATTGTTGGAGGAGCGTCATTTGAAATTAACTTCATAATATATGATAATAAGCTGGATGACACCCTCAACTTTTATAATCTTTCACTTAGACAAAAAACAACTAGTAATTTTTTTTTTCACAATCACATCGACTAAGGCTAATTGTGTAAAAAGGTAATAACACTTACTACTTTTTTGCTTAAGGAACTGTAAAAATAATTTTTTTTAATACGATTTAATTTTAATTTTGCATACAAGTGATAAGTAATCTTGATGTTAATGTTAGAGGTGCACAAATAGGCGCCTGTTCTAGCTAGGTCAAAGTCTGATAGTCCGGTCCACCGTGTATGAGAAAGGCTAGGTCCAATAGTCATACATGAAATTTTGGTAAGTTAAGCCTAGCGGGCTTTGCCTAAGCTACGACTAGGCCTAAAAGCCTGAGCTTTTCGATTTTTTCATGTTTTTAAGTAATTGGGATGTGTTTGTATTTGTTTGTTTATTATATCATTTTATTTTCCTTTCTTCCTATTATAGCATTAGCATCTTGTTTATATTGGTTTGTTTATCTTACCATCCAACTTTCACGCTCCTAAATAATAATAAAAAAAACAAAACTTTTGTCAGCTCTAAGGCAAAGGAAAGTCGATGACCAAAACCTAGTCTGTTGCACCCCTTTTGAAGCGGAATAAAGAGAAAAGTGGGTGTGGAAGTTGAGAGAGAGAGGAGTCCTCGTAAATCCTTCTTTGTGTTATAGCATGCTACTTATATTGGTTTGTTTATATTATAGTTAATAGCATTCAATTTTCATTTCTTCATATTATAGCATAGATAATAACATCCTATGTAGATAGAAATTTGATATCTTTTTAAATTATCTCCAATATTTTTACTTAAAACTTTACCATATAGTAGGCTTGGAAAAAAGTTCAATATTAAAAAATCATACCTAAAAGGCTAAAAGGATCATACTTCTTTTTTATAAAAATCGCCTAGGTAGTGCTTTACATGTTGGTGATTTTGTATCACCGATATTTTCAGTGTAATTGAAATGTATATTAGTTTCAAATTGGATCAAAACTATGATCTAATACAAGTCTTGTTGTGTGGAGTGCAACTTGTATAAGACAGTTTGATCCCTAACATGAAGAAATGTGGGGGGGGGGGGGGGGGTAAAGGGGAGCGCCTCCTTAGTGTTTCATAAAGATATATGGTGTATGGTGCACAGATATATGGTCTTGCCTAGAAGATTTACAATGCACAACACAAAATTGTGTGGTCTTAAGGACTATACAAAGTGAAAGGATGTACATTCTTTTCCTAACATATTTGTGGTGTTGAGTTCTCAAAGAACCAATGACTTTGTTTAAAGAATTTCTTACTTGTCTTAAGAATTGTTTACTTCAACTTTACGGAAAATGATTATAACTTCTTGATAACTGTAGATAACTTCCCAAAAGTCATATTTTTTTCATTAAATGTCTATTTTGTGAGTATAAATAGACGCTATACTATAGTTTTTTGGAACTAACGAATTTGATATAAGTCATGATATGATTATGGTACTTTCTTCCTATTTTCTGCCGGAGATTTGAAGTACTATTAACAAATTATCCTGGAATATATATGTCGAGACCAAGTTTATTGAAACATCCCTCGCACGGGCTAACTGAAAATAGTTTATAAAGGTCTAAATATGAAATGTTTCTTAAAGTTCAAAAGTTTAAATGTATCAAAGTTAAGTCTCAAAGTCCAAATAAACAATGATTTGTTTCAAAATGGTAGGAAAGTAACAATTAACATCAAAACACAAGTCATATATATAGACATTACAAATTAATTTCTTCTAAATATTCATGATCTTCTCACTCCAATATTCATCTATAATGTTAATATGAATATATCTCAAGATACAAGTGTTAAATCTGAAAATCTAGTGAGTATCCTTGATGTTGACTATTAAAGAGTATTGAATAATGAAGATCATCCAAGCTCAACATCAAACCTCCAAAAATAGTTTTAAAACATTCCGAATTTAACGGTTC